GGCAGTGACAGCCTACGGCGGCAACAGCGAGCGAGCGACGTCGGCGGCGGCCAGGAGCCCACTATAGTAGCGCAGCGCCTTGTCGGCGCGCTGTGTCAGGGGTCCAGGTCAGGAGGAGAAAAGGAGGAGGAGGAGGATGAGGAGGAGGAAGAGGAGGTGGGGGAGGGGGAAGAAGAGGAGGAGAAAGCGGAGGAGGACGGAGGGGGAAGAAAAGGAGAAGGCGGAGGAGGAGGAGGAGGAGGAGGAGGAGGAGAGGAGGAGGAGGAGGAGGAGGAGGGAGGAGGAGGAGAAGGAGGAGGAGGAGGAGAGGGAGGAAGAGAGGGAGGAGGAGAAGGAGGAGGAGGAGGAGGAGGAGGAGGAGGAGGAGGAGGAGGAGGAGGAGGGGGTTTTGCTCGAGTTGGTCCTGGCGCAGGGTGGCCCCAGCTCTCCCAGGGGAGCCCAGATGACCTGCAGGGCCCCGGGTCAAGCGAGGAGAAACCACCCCGACCTCCACAACTGGCGTTTACTAAACAGCCCTGGTCGTTAACTGAGCAGTCCCGTCCTGTTCGATCTCTTCCTTGAGTGCGTTTACTGAAGCGCTTCATTTGCAGGGGTTGCCTACACGGAGGGTGGTTTTTCTGCTCCCTACAAGGGAGGCCCAGGTCGCCTCTCAGAGCATCCCTCCTCGAGGCCCACAGGGCCCCATGGGGGCTCCGAAGTGGCGCGGACGGGCCGGGGGGCACTTTGGGTCAGGGCTGCATCCTGCAGCCCGCGACACGGCGGAGGGCGGACCTCCCACGAGGGCGCGGGCTTTCTGAAAGGTGACTGGTCCCTCGCGAGCCGTGCCCTCCACGTAATCTTCGACTATACGTAAGAGTGACCCTTCGCCGGAGTGACCAGCCCCGCCCTGGGATCCGCGGTGTTGCTATCGCGGGCCGATCGCTGGTACATCGGCGATGTATCGCCGATTCTAGGTCATTGTCTCGCTCCCTGAGCTATCCACCCCGGAGGAGGAGATCAGCATGGGGAGGCGGATAGGGAAGGCGAAGGAGGATGAGGAGGATGAGGTGGAAGAGAGGGTCATGACAAGGAGGAGGATGATGAGGGGGATGATGATGATGATGATGATGATGATGATGATGATGATGATGATGATGATGATGATGATGATGATGATGATGATGATGATGATGATGATGATGATGATGATGATGATGATGATGAGATGATGAGAGGAGGAGAGGAGGAGGAGGAGAGGAGGAGGAGGAGGAGGAGGAGGAGGAGGAGGAGGAGGAGGAGGAGGAGGAGGAGGAGAGGAGGAGGAGGAGGAGGAGGAGGAGGAGGAGGAGGAGGAGGAGGAGGAGGAGGAGGAGGAGGAGGAGGAGGAGGAGGAGGAGAGGAGGAGGAGGAGGAGGAGGAGGAGAGGAGGAGGAGGAGGAGGAGGAGGAGGAGGAGGAGGAGGAGGAGAGAGGAGGAGAGGAGGAGGGAGAGGAGGAGGAGGAGGAGGATGAGGAGGAGGAGGAGGAGGGAGAGGGAGGAGGGAGGAGGAGGAGAGGAGGAGGAGGAGGAGGAGGAGGAGGAGAGAGGAGAGGAGGAGGGAGGAGGAGGAGAGGAGGAGGAGGAAGGAAGGAGCAGGATCAGGAGAGGACAAGGAGTGGGGAGAAGGAGGGGGAAGAGGATGGGAAAAAGGTGAAACAGGAGTAGTAGGAGGAGGAGGAGTAGGAGGAGGAGAAAGAAATGAAGGGCACGGAACAGGATGTCGAGGACGATATTTTGATGCTGCTGATGATGCTGCTGCTGATGATGCTACTGCTGCTGATAATGCTGATGATTGATGATGACGCTGATGATGGCAATGCTGCTGCTGATGATGCTGCTGCCGATGATGATGGTGATGCTGCTGCTGGTGATGATGATGCTGATGCTGCTGATGACGGTGATTATGATGATGCTGATGATGATGAGTACTATCATAGTGATAATGATGGTGATGATAATGATGCTGATGATCGTGCTGATTTTATTGATGGTCATGTGGGTACCGATGACGATGACGATGACGACGACGATGATACTGATGATGAGGATGATGATGCTGATATAATGATGAGGAGGATAATCATGATGACGATCATGATGATGCTGCTTCTGCTGCTGACGATGCTGATGACAAATGATGATGATGACGATGATGATGATGTTGATGATGATGATGAGGAGGATGATGATGCTGATGATGATGGTGATGCTGCTGCTGATGATGATGCTGATGATGATGCTGAGAACGATGATGGGTTGGTGGCGACGAACATGATTCATATGCTGATGATTATGATGATACTGATTGTGATGCTCATTATGCTGATGATGATATGGGGATGATGATTCGGATTCGGATTTTGATGATGATGATGGTGGCTGTGGTGGCGGTGATGGTGATGATGATGCTGCTGTTGATGGTGATGACGATGATGCGGCTGATGTTGATGATCATGATGACGATGCTTCTTCTGCTGCTGCT